CTGAAGCGGGCAAGTGCATTACTGTATTATATCCTTCGTATTACTCGTTTTCTACCACTTTTTGTCGCATACGCGTTGCAACAAAAAGGCTGAGAACGGCTTCAACAGTGTGCGCACTCCTTCTGGCTGACACGCCCCACCGGTCCGCAATGATGAGGACTGTATGCGGGTGTGTGGTGATTCTATCGTCGGGTCGTCGCGCCGGTGGGCGGAGCGAGGCGGCGTGGCGGCCGCCGCGTACGAGTTTTGTTGCGTGGCGTTCAAATTGTTAAAGGGTCGACGATCCCACAGCTTGCTGTGGCCGTTGCTCCAATGACAACTCGGGAGTACGGTAATGCAACTCCGGGATTGCCGCGTCGCGGCGTGCCGCGCAGCGACGCGGCGCGGCGTGTGCGGCGTCGCCTGACTTGCCGACGATAGAATCGCCCGGGTGCCCGTAAATGCTCAGAAATTGAAGGAACGGGGACTCGATGACATATTCGTCTAAGAGTGGAAGAAAACGTAAACTTCTTCTCCCTTAGGCGGTGTGCGTGACTGCGTACCTAATTTGAACATGCCGCAGATGGCTTCTTCGACGTTTCCATTCGAGACATCTGTCAATTCGTCTTGTGCTCGCCAATATATGACTGCAGCTGTTTTAAAATAAAAACATCTCACAAAAGCACAACCGCCACCACGTTCAATTAAGTGCGCAGCCACGCCCTTCGCATCTCGGGGATTGGGAATACGGGGTTGCTTTCCCTGCTAATGCTTGGGCGGGTCAGGGAGGCTGGGTTCGATGGCGCCAGCGCATTCTCTAGTATTGATGAAGCGGGTAAGCGACAACGGTTGGTGGGTAATGGGCTGACGCCGCGCGCCTTATTCGCCCCTCTCCTCTTCTTATGGCACGGCCCGCCCCAGCATCTGCAGTGAAAATGACCACATGCCCATTTTTGTAGTTGTCCTATACATATATTTTCCATAGTTAAGAAGGAGATTGCAGCAAGATCGGTTCGTTCACGGACCACAAGCCGGCTGGTGGTAATGTGCAGATCTTTTCCGAGACCAGGACATACAATGTTCAACCAAAAGTAGGATCCCTCAACAATGTTACACATACACCAGGTAATACACTGTCTAATTTGCTGAGAGATTCCATTTGAACGAGCATTTTTCCTACAGGTGGCGGAAATGTGAAGATACCCTCCATGAAGTTGGATTTCAAAGAAAGGCAAAAACCAAAAATCGACGCCAAGTCTGAATACGTGCCCCCTGTACCAGAAAAGAAGGTGAGAGTTCTGAACATTTTATCTATCAACGAAACCCTGCCAAAACTTGCCTTGTTTTATTGTTGCAGGCCGAGACTCTGACGCCAACAGAGTGGAGACTCTACCCGGCAGCTTTGGGGCAAAAAGTGTTCGGGGTTCTCGCGATGCGGGCGGCAGTTTCTTATGACGGAAGTATCTAACCTGTTGCAATCCTAAAAGCCTGCTAATTAGCTGCTTCATTTACCTACCTCATAAAGCTGCAATTGTGCTTTCAGAACATAGCAGAAAACGTTTCATCTTTCAGATGATCTCTCAAAATTAGTCGGGGGGAATTGCCGCAGTCAAAAGTCGGCTTCATTAGAGAAGCGTCAAACACAAACGCAGGCCTCTATATGTACAGGCTAAGGGCCTCAAATTTCTTACGATTTGGTTAGCAGGTTACCTTAGGTTTGCGGTCAGTATTCTTCATCGGAATGAATTAGGCGTCAGCCGCTTTGGCCCCTCCGTAGTCATCATCACAGCAGCGTCATTCTGCCAATGTGTGCGCAGCACATCACCAAGCCGTTTCCGGCTTTGTTCGGTGTTGAGATTCTCGACCAAAAAATGCGAGTGTAGCGTGCTTCCAGCAAAGTCGGTTCTAGCGATAATTATTAAGCACAAACCAGGCGGTGGAAATGTGCAGGTCATTCGCCATCATTCTGCAAAGAACATTGGCTATGAAATGGACGTAATATATCGCAGTCGATCTATACTATAGGAAAAGGGGCTTGGGCATATAATCCACTCTGACTGGTCAGCGATTTCCTCCCTCTACCCCTTCCCATTCGGACGACAGGCTTTTGGATATAGAAGATTGGTGATTAGGTTGTAAAACGACACAAAGGAGAATTCGGAGCAAAAAAAAAGGGGGGGGCGGCGTGTTTCAACTTCACAGAAACGTCCCCTGATTAGTGTGGGAGGAAATTCTCTTCTTCAGTCGAGAGCACTTTTCCAGAAGGGGGAGGAACAAAAAAATTATGGAAAACTGGGAGAAACGTTGGAAAGCCAGGAAAACCTGAGAAGATCGTAAATAGGATGGGGAAGAGGGTCGTATCGGAGGAACATGTTGGGGAGTCGTCTGACAGTGCCCTTACTCCCATCCTGACGCTGACCTCTATGTGGAGTGGTCCTTCTCTCTATCCCCCCCTCCGGTACGACGATTGCGCTGAAACTTTAAGCTCACCTTCCATGGGCTAGTTTTTCTTGATGTCGCCCAATGTAATAGTATAGATCGATTGCTCTGCTTATCACTGTATCGACTACACAGCATTTTTATTTGCCATCACTTTTTGTTATGGCTACCGTATCCACTGCACCATTTAGATCTTTGATGAGCGGATACAGTATGTATCGTCAATCAATCATCACAAATCGAATAGCAGCTCTATGAATAACGTGAACAATCAATCGCGTACAACTTCACGAACGCATATCGATCTGCTCGAATTATGACATCAGTGTATACGTCTCGCTGTGTGATCTCCTCTACATATACATATTATGATGCTCTAGACATTTTCTGGTATGCTTTTGTGAATTCTTGAGTTTTCTGCTTTTGCTTTTTCTATCTTGCTTTTTCCGACCAGCACAATCAACACCGTCAATACATACGTTCAAAAAAATTCCCTCTTCATATTTCTGAGAGCTACCAGTTTTCACGAAAAAATGTGTCAAGCGGATACAAGTCATCTCCAGTCAAGCATAGGAAAGAGTAGGGGGAGCAGTATAGTATACAATATATCGGGAAAGCTATAGTGGTTTTGACAGGGGGTATAAGCGGGGAAAATCAACAACGAGAAGTTCCATCACGTCTGAAAGAATTCCTCTCGATGTCACAGCCTTTTCACCCAGCGACCGAGTGCGATCCACTAAGGGACTCTTCTAATGATGCTGTACCCTGTTGACAGGGTCCCTATAGTCTCCACACACACGGCAATCGCGACCCCCTGACATACCTATACATGCGAGGGATCTGTGAGTGACCGAAGTACAGGTCAGGGAGTTCAGTAAAGCCTATCAACTTCGAGATAATAGTTTTTATGTAATATTAGAAGCATCTCTATTAGCATCAAAGATGTTGTTATGTACGCGTTGTATCAGGCTGCGTTCATACTCTGTGGCAAGCGAGTCCTACCGGCCGTTTTCAAGCGCTCTGTCAAAGCGCCAGCGACTAGGGAAGTATAGGTATTGGTCTAGCAAACAACAGCGTCTAGCAGCATCTACCAGCGACTAGGAAGGTATAGGTGTTTCCTGCAAAAGCTAGCGTCAACCAGCGTCTGCCAGCGCCTAGCAGCGTCCTTGAGTTTCCCCAAGGGAGTGGAGAGTATGGAGAAGTAGGAGGGGCAGACAGCCGAAATCGGCGCCGTGGAATTGTGGGGTGTGCAACCACACCGTACAAAAAGCATACAATTATGCAATTTAATCTATGGTGTTGTGTAGTATTGCGGTGCGGCTGCACACGCCGCATTTTGATGCCTAGACCAGCCATCTGCTCCTTCCCACTTCCCCATACTCTCCCCTCTGGGACGCTGGTGAACGCTAGTAAACGCTGGCGTTCGCTAGATCGATATCCCTACTTCCTAGTCGCTGGTGTACTGTTCACTAGAACGATATTCATACCTTCCTTGTCGCTGGTGGACGCTGCTGCAAAGTATGAACACAGCCTCAGGATACCAGACAATGTTCATTGTTATGAACGTATGTTGAAAAACCATAGCGGATATGACAGGTATACTAGCAAGTAAGGTCTGTAATAAATTTATGACGTTTTATACTATCGACTATATGTATAAAAGTAAATATATTACAAATTATGCAAAGATCCGTTGTAGAAATTATGTGCGATTTGTCGAAGGTAGAGTTATTTAGTAGTATCAAAATTCTCCTACTGAATTTCTTCACTGCATGCCCCTTGGCGTGGCTATTTGATTTTGCAGTTTCCTTGATTGTTCGCCGTTCCTTCTTGTTTTTCTATCTCCTCAGTCTCAATTCAGTCATGAGCCCTGGCCTCTCACAAATAAAAAACAGCTAACCGCAGAAAGAGGCTAAATGAGCCATCTATGTTTTCAGTGCTTTTTTCAATAGTCATTTACACGACTTTTTCATGGTTTAAAGGCACGTTCCGCGATAAACTAAGGCTAGAACTCATAAACGTGCATGATGATCAAGCAGGCAACAGTAGAGGATATGCTGCTTTTAAAAGTTGAAAAACAGCAAGCAGAACGCACGGCGCTCATGTTTTAGGCCCATTGGCGCCCGATAGGCCCATGCCGGCCTCCGGTGACCGTGTCGTTGTGACATTGCCATTGCGCTCTCTCGCCCGTCATTTTCTGGCCTCTCTCGTCTCTTATCAGTGTCTCGCCGCCTTTTGCAATCCACAATCGATCTTGACCACCTTACGCTCGTCCGGTGATCATGATCAATTGAAATAAAGAGGGTCTTATTGCGGGCGCTTTTTCGTGGTTCCTTCTCTTCAATAAGTCAACAATCACAGGGCAATTCTATTTTTGAACTGTATTACCTATGAAGTGTGGT